GGACAGTGGTGTGTCGAAAGTAAGCTGGTCACCACAGATGCCAGCCTCATGGGCTGTGGCACCTAGTGGCAACACAGAGCGGTTCGGGGTCTCCGGGGTCCAAGGGAAGGCACAAAACACAAACTTGCTGGAGCTGCAGACTGTGCATATGGCCCTCAGGTACCTTCCCACCTAGAGGCATGTGTTGATTCAGACGAGCAACATCTCTGTTGTTTACCATATAAAATGACCAAGGTTGCAACAGGCATTTCCCTGTCTGCCCACCCTGCATGCAGCATATCTGCCAGGACAGCAGAACCAGGTTGCAGACTCTCTATCCCGCCAGGCACCTGGTCCGGGAGAGGGGTCCCTTGACCATGATGTAATGTGGATGATATGGAACCTCTTTGGGCAGGCAGAGATAGTGGCTTTCCTGCAAGACTGCTTTCCTGATGGTTATCTCCTCAGCTAAGAGGGTCGGGGAGCTACATGCTCTCTCTGTCAGCCCTACCTGCATCAGGTGGGCTCCAGAAGGCTATGCTCTCACCCTGTGGCTTAATACTGCATTTGTGCCTAAGGTGTTGTCTCCTTTTCACCATAACCAGCCATTGCAGTTGTCAGTGAATGTCATCTGCCATGCCTACGTTGTAGAGCACTGGCTCCTGCCAGTAAGTGTGAGGGCACATTTCACCAGGAGCATCTCTGCTTCCTGCACGGCTTTGAGAGGAGTCCCGCTGGAAGCAATATGTGCTGCTGATTCATGGGCTTCCCCGACCACCTTCACAAGGTACTACAATGTCAATGTGGCTGCAACTCATCCACTGGGTCAGGTCCTTTTACAACTTTCTGCTGGGCCCTCTCAGTGAGGTATGTGCTCAGGATTCCTTGTGACATCGTTGACATTAGTCATTCAGTGCTTTCAGCACTGCCCTCTGGCTGTCCGTAGGGATGAAATGGAATGAAAGTTACGTATGTAACTACAGTTCTATAAATTCCGAAGGCAGCAAAATAAGGGAAAACACAAAGTAATAGCAGAGATAACATCAAATATTAAACTACTAAGTGAGGATTATTTTTGCATCATGAATATAGAGAGCCAAAGGAGAGCTCATAAGTTTAACTTTTTGTTTTATTAATAATAACCATTTTAACCCTCAGAACATGATATCTGAGCTAAACGGCTATATCTGCATTCCAATTTCCTTTTCTTTTTCGTTTGCACAATGTGTCTTTCACACATGTTTTTACAGCCTACAGATCAGGGGACATATTCCTGTCACCTACATCATCATTACTGCGGCCTACATGAAAGAAGAGAGTTTCAGGTCACGGTGGAGGCTCCTTTGATCCAGAGCATGCAGCCGGCCCTATCACTTCCCAAAGACAAAGGTAAATGAAACATCTCTTCCTTCTCTTGGGTTTTACTGGCCAGTCTCAGGCCATAAGCAGAGCAGATGTTTTAGCACTTAAATGGGTGGAAACATTATGTGTGCTGACATCTGCTCATTCCCTCACTCTTGTTTCTTTATCTCTTCTCTGACTTTCCAAACAGCAGATCTGAATTTTCTTCTCTCCGGGGATTTTTTTTTTCTCATATAGTAGCAATATTGTTGCTTAGCTTTGCCTTAAATCCAAGAGGCATCTCTTCTTCAGTGGATGTTTCAGACATTTGTTTTCACTACTCTTTGCATGAGCGTTCATGGATTTGTTTAAACACACCAGATCTGCATCTCACCAGCTCCCCTCCATCGCCTCTTTTTGACAAAGAGAGAGTTTTGGATTCATGTGTATTTTTTTCCCCTACAGTAGCAGATCAAGGCTTTTAAAAGCAGAGGTATCGCCTCCGTATGCACGTATAAGCCAGCTCCTGTGTGTGTTAAACAGAGCATGCCAAAGGGGCCGATCTCATTTTGGTGGAATCTCTTGAATGGAGTCCAGCTCCATCCACCGGAAAATAATCCCCCTCTCTACCAGAGCTGGGATAAAACATAAGGAATGCTTCCTGGGAATTATACATGTTTTATGTTGTGACGTTTAATCTCCAGAAGTTGTTTATCCTCTTCTGTGGTCCTGATCTGATCCATGTATGCTTTGGCTCAGCCTTTGTGCCCTTTTCATTTTTTCTCACTTTCATCTTTCCTCTCTCCGGCGGTCACATTCCTTTGTTGCTCCAATTTATTGAGTTTAAAAATGCAAACATGGAAAATAGTTTTAAACATCTGATCATCTCATCCTTACCTTTATTCTTATGTATATTTTAAGACAGGACTAGTTCTCATGTATGTTCAGGTATTGTGTATCTCACTAAAAGAAGGGGAGGACTTTGAATATTTTTAAGTACACTAGAGACAATCTGGTTTTAAGGATGTTGGGGGCGAGGTCTTCTCTCTGGAAAGATTTCTCACCCCATCCTCCCACTCGTTCCACCCCTGCTCTGCCCTTCCTTCACTCCTCTCACTTTTTTCCCCCTTTTTTTTTTTTTTGCATTTTCTATGTTTTTCTGCCAGGAAAAGTAAATCAAAACATGACATCAGTCTGAATCAGATTTCCTGGCTTAAGTAAGTTGAGTCTGAGGTCCGCAGCTGCTTCTTGACTTACAGTCTAAAAACAGTGAAACCAGAACCTTTACTTCTTCATACTCAGCAGAACCTCACAAGGACAGTAATGTCAGTTTGGTATACGCTCGTTACATCTGTTTTTTTGTTTGTTTGTTTTTTTTCTATTAAGCCTTTGCTATTAGTTAGAATAAAAGCTATACACGTACATATATATGTCTGAAAAACAAATAAAATTCTGTTTCAAATATATATAAGGTTTGATTATGTTTCACAATTCATTTCATTGGAATTACCACATTTTAAGTATTTTATTGTGCCCAAAAAAATAAATAGTGCATAAATTTTAAAATAAAAGGAAAAACCATGTATGGTTTCAATATAGCTTTAAAGTGTGGTGGGTCTCCAGTTTTACTCTGATACCTATAATTCAAAGCCAGTTGAGTAAAAAAAAAGCAGCCAATTAGTAAAAACTAAAAGAGTCCTATGTGTGAGTTCATGTCAAACTGTTGCTGCAAAGGTTTTTTAGAGAATAGCATCATGATAACAGGAAACACAGCAGACAGGTTGGGGATTTAGTTGTGGAAATGTCTGGAAGCAGGGCAGAGCATTTACACATCCAACATGAGAGGAGAAAGAGCCTTACTGTGAGATGCATGTGTAAAAATTGTTTATTTCAAACTATCCAGGGCTTGATTAATGTAAAGAAACATGTTGACTTTTTATACCACACAGAAGACACCAAAGCTGACTCACCGCGAGTCATCAACGTCATCCTGCCTGACCAGAGACACCATTTTCTCCTGCCGCTTGGCTACGTTCTCACCTCCTCCCTGCTTCTGGCATTCATTACCCTCATCATCATCCTCATCATGAGACGACGCAAAGCCAAAGGTCTGCTCTACAGTCTGTCAGATTGATTCACTTTCAGATTTTCATAATTTATGTTCCTATAAGATGTTATTTTTTTATTTCAGATTTTTCTCCTAAAGTATCTATTAGGTAAGTTCTAAAGGAAACGTTTCACAGCACCTTGATATAAACTTTGCAACAAGGTGTCACTTTACAGACATTAGCTTCAGTGTGTTTCATGTGAAACACCAACACATAGTTATGAAGTGGAAGAAAGATCACATGTGATTCAATAAATGTTTGACAAATACTAATCTGAAAAGTGTAGCATGCATTTGTTTTTTGACAATATTTAAAGTTTTGGTTAGGGATGGGAATCAACAACCAATTCCTGTTCAGAAGTGGTTGGCAGCTCACTTAACGATTCTCTTAATGGTCCAGGCAGCACCAGAGCCTAGCGCTGGGCAGCGCGACTTTGGTCACGTTTTTTTATGCAAGTTACACTCATGGCATTCAGTAAACAAGTACAACGTGACCAGGCGTAAGTCTAGAAAAGCAAAACAAAAAAAATGGCGGCCCATTGGGTAAAGCGATAGAAAGTTTGGCTTTATTTTAAGGAATAGAAAGATGGCAACAAGGTGCTTTGCAATCATTGCAAAGTGGCAATTACATCCGCAGGAGGAAATACATCCAACATGCAGAAACACCTGTGCACACAACATGGCATACATTAACGAATGCCATGTTTTTGATGCTTCCGGACAGAAGGTAAAGTTACGACCAGCATGGAAGGCAACTCTGGTGGTAAGTAGCTAGTAGTATTTCACTGGCTTTGCTTAATGTGGTTCCTAGAAAACCAGATGCCATTTCTGGAGATAAACCAATTCCCTACCTCTCTTTGGGGATATTAAACATGCTACAAATTTGCACCGCAATTCAGAGGGCAAGAGAAAGGTGACATTCGTTTATTTAAAACAGGGGGAGATGAGTTCATTTCAGGAAATTGTACATTAATGCTTTTTCATTAAAAGGATGCCTTCTCCATTAGATTTAGATGACTATGACGAGGCGGGTAGCATGACTGGCTCAGAGGCCACAGCTCCCATTCATTGCCTTCTGTTTTTGCCAAGACAGGCAGAATTTGAACGTCCCAGGCGAAGGTAGACGAATGTCACCGTGCACTTACCAAGTTCATTGTTTGACAGAATCAATAAGAGAATCGATAAGGAATCGAATAATTTCACAGAATCAATAAGGTAATCGGAATATCTTATCAATTCCCAACCCTAGTTTTGGTACAAAAGTCTGTTTTGGCCAATATTCCTACAGTCATCAGGATTTGTAGAACAACATTGCAAGCAAGGAAGGAAGGAAGCAAGAAAGGAAGGAGATGGAACTGTGAGTCTTTTAGGATACCACTCTACCTGAAATTGTTCTTCACATAGCAGCTCCAACTAAATCCGATTTGATGGAGAGCATCTATTGAAACTTTTCTTAATTTGTATTAATATTATAATTGTTATATATTTTTTTATGCCTCAAATTATTTAGATTTAGGTCTGGATTTTGGTTTAGCCATTCTAACACACCTCTATTAAATTTTATTAACACTACCTCTCGCTGCATTGTCCTGCTGGAAGGTGAACATCCACCCAGTCTCAGGACTTTTGCAAACTTCCTACTATAGTAATTTTTTCTACATCACATCCAACTTCTGCCTTCCTCCATATACGGTGTGGATGGTTTCTTCATCCAAACAACAGCTGTATTTACAATGAAAGTAAACTTCACACTGGTGGCCTCTGCTTACTGTTGATGTCAATCCGGTACAGTTTCCTTCACAAAATTGTACTTAGACATCATAGTGGGTAAACTCAGATGCACTTTCAGATTAGTAATTGCTGTAATAAAATTAAATAAAAAAAATTTATAAATTTCTTTCTATTTTACAACTGTACATCCACCTTTTCTGTAAAGGTAAAATTCCAATAAAATATATCAGGGTTTAAGGTTTTCATTGAAAAAAATGATGTGTGTTGTCTGAGTCTTTCAGTATTTCCTCAGGTCCAACAGAAGTCCCAGCAGCTCAGATGAGTATGATATCGACATCGGCGAGTTGGACGTATACAGTCAGGAAGAAAAAGGATTTGGTGAGAGTAAAGCATGTTTGTTTTGCACTCTTTTAACAACTGAGTGAGGAAGTGAGTGGTTTCCGATTCACAAGCTTCATAGCTTGTTTAAAAAATTTAAACTACAACTAAGAAGGTTCATTTATGATTACATTTGCTGCTTTCTGAAAACTAATAATTTACTTTGATTAGTCTACAAGAACAACCTGCTAAAAGAAAACTCCCTGATGAAGTCTCAGCCAAAAGCCATTGATCTTGACAGAGGTATGCTACTAACATCAAAAGTTATTCTGAATTATAACGCCCACCATTTTTTTTTCCTGAACTTTAGTCAATTGTTTGCTTTTGCCTTTCACAGAGATCCAGAAGTTTTCCAAGTAAGAAGGCGAGACAGAAGTGAAATCTGAGTCACTGGCGGGTCCAGAGGCTGCAATTGCTCCAGACCAAACACATCTGCATTACCTTCTGCCGTTACAAGAGAGGAAACCAGGGTGGACCTTCTTTAGTTAGCCTGGATCAGCTTTATTAGGAAGTTGTTGCAATGAAATTGCTAGTTTTACACAGAATTACGTTTTTCTTTAGCTGTTCCCAGCTGCAGTAAATACTGTGTAAATCAAGCTTTGGATGCATGCAAAGAAAAAAATGAGACTAACTGAATGGTGAATAGGACTTGAAATATTAGTCTTATTTAACATTGCTTTTTGTTTTTAATTTTTCGCTTTGTTTTTTACTTCAGTAATCCTACGCTTTCTGGACTTAGTTCCGCTAAAGTGTCACACGTGCATGCTACCCAGAAGAACAGTGTTTTTCTAATATTTAGACTAAATTACAACAGTTTTATATCAAGATTCATTGAAAAGGGCAATTTTAAACTTAATTTTTGTTACTGGATGGTTAAACCATCTTTTTTACTGACATCAAAACTTTCATTCTGTTTTCTAGTTGTTTGTAATGTTTATTCTCATATTAAGGCGTCTAGTGATGTAGGCCAAAAATCCAGTGTTGTGCTTCTTAGTGTTTTATGTAACAGTCATTTTCTTTTAGAAAAGTTGCACTAAAATTTTAGTTTTAGTTCATTCTTTTCCACTAATGCTACATACCTAGTGTAGAAACAAGAGTACTACCCTATAATACAGTATCCATTCACAACAAATACAAACCTATAACTTAATTTTTTAACAAACAATGTGCTTATACTTTTTCTTTGTGTTGTTTTCTGTTATCTAAAGTGAATACAGTGTGTACTGCTGCACCTTAACACCTATACAATAAAGGAATAAAAAGAAAAAGGATTTTACATTTGCTACCCCCATGTTTTTTTTTTCTAGAGGTGAAATCCAGACACAAATGAATCATTTAAAATTTCTCATGATCTTGGTGCTGATGACTGGCTTAATCGTTAATTCCATTCACCTGTCTAGTTCCACCCAGTTTTTCATCACTGCTCATCTGTGTCACCTGCTACAATCTATATTTAACCTGCCTGCTTCCAGTCATCACTGCCAGATTATTTGAGCCTGTGGTGAGACTTCTCCGTTGTACCCGTTTGAGGTCTGATGCTGACCCGTTCTGCCTTTGGACCTCTGAGCCTGCCTGTTCCCACTCTGATTCTTTTGTCTGACCTGTCTTTGGACTTCTGCTGGATTCTGCCGATTGACTGAACCTGGATCTGCTTCCTGACACCAACCTGGATTTCCCTTTGGTACCTCTTCTCTGATTTCTGAAGATCTCTGATCAGCTGGCTTTGACTCCTGTGAACCTTTTCGACACCAGCCTTGGCTTCGCACTCCCTTTCTTCGTCTGCTCTGATCCGTTTGTCATTCAGTTCTGTAGTCTTCATGGCTGCAGCGTTCACCGTTTAGTGTTGGCAGCAATTTGACTTCAATCCACTGCTTCCTCTGGGCAGACCAGTTTTACATAAATTGATTTTTTATGTTGAAACATGAACTAATGACTGATGTAGATGAAAAACAATAGTTTTTTTAAACAGATAAATCATACAAAGGTGATCTACGTTCACTTTTACTCTTCTTTACTCTGATGACCCCAAAGAAAACACTATTGCAGACATCCCAAGTCTCCCGGAAGTTCTGGGAGTCTCCCTGATATCGATAGTTGTTCACGGATGCCCGTGAGTCGGATAAATTATCCAGGATTTTACACTCTGCGCAGTGGTGTTTTTTGATGCGAGTGAGAGCGGGCGGGCAATAATTCATGCATCCTGTGTGGATAGCTTGTCTACAAAAGAAGGACTGGGTTGTTTACTTTTACCATCACCGTTTTGGAAACACAGGAAGGAGCAATCAGCTAAGTGAGCTTAGTGCTTGGAAAAAATCTTTCATTCCTTTTGAGACAGCATGAAAAGTCTGCTGAGTACAAAACATAAGAGAGGACGACAACATTTTTCTTCTTCTTTTTGAAGTTTAATGGCGGATGGCAAACAATCTTCTGAAAAGTCCGGACTTGGCTTTAGAACTCTCATGGCTGTCCTCAGGGCTTCCTTATCACCAGACTTGAAAGGTGAATTTCGTGCTCTGGCGGTCAGTAGGGATGAAATAGAACGAAAGTTACGACTGTAACTACGGTTCTATGTTTCCCGGATGACTGCCAGAGCGCTCGGTCCCTCGGAATCATCGTGTTTTCGCGAGAAGATTAAGGGACTGAGCTGTCGCTGTCATGTGACTATATAGGCACATCGGTGTCACCGGGGGTCACACTTGACTATGTTGGTATAAGATTCTCAAGCTGTGCATGCGCAAGATTGATCATTTGTGCTTTAAGCACCGCCTCTGGCGGTCATCTGGGATTCATAGAACCGTAGTTACAGTCGTAACTTTCGTTCAATTCCAGAGAGGGTGCCTGAGAAACGGCTACCACATCCAAGGAAGGCAGCAGGCGCGCAAATTACCCACTTCCGACTCGGGGATGTATTGAAAAAAAAAATAACAATACAAGACTCTTTCGAGGCCCTGTAATTCTAATGAATACACTTTAAATCCTTTAATGAGGATCCATTGGAGGGCAAATCTGGTGCCAGCAGCCGCAGTAGCACCTTAAAGCTGCTGCAGTTAAAAAAGTCATAGTTGGACTTCGGGATTGAGCTGATGGTCCACCGCGCTTCTAATTTTTTCGTTTTCTGAACTGAGATCCATAAAAAAGAGTGACGGCCAGGGCCATTCGTATTGTGCCGATAGAGGTGACATTTTTTGGCCCGGAGCAAGACAGACAAAAGCGAAAGCATTTGCAAAGAATGTTTTCATTACTCATGAACCAAAGTCGAGGTTCGAAGACGATCAGATACCGTCGTAGTTCCAACTATAAACGATGCCAACTACCGATACATGTGTTATGCCCATGACCCACCGGGCAGCATCCAGGAAACCAAAGTCTTTGGGTTCCGGGGGAGAATGGCTGCAAAGCTGACAATAAAGGCATTGAAGGAAGGGGACCAGCAGGGGTGGAGCCTGCGGCGTACCTTGACTCAACCCTAACCCTCACATTTTCTTTTTCAGTCGGCTGTGGCTAAGAATCAGATTTTTTGATAGCTTACAGTCTTTGCTTGTTCATTTTTCCAGCAGTTTTCAGAACTCCTGTCTGACTCAGAGTATATAGTTTAGAAAAGAAAAAAAAAAGGAGGAATTTCTTGGCATTCATCTATCAACCAAAACTGCTAATTCCAGGGCACCCGCGCATAAGAATTATGAAAATATTAAGAGTATGTTTAAAAGTACCCTTTTGGGTCATATTTCAATCTGTTTTCTCATCAGCGTGCGAGAGGGGAGGTAATTCTCAGCAGGCAGGTATTTCTCAGCATAACTAACAAGACTGCAAGCACATTGTAGGCTATATTCAGGTTGCAGATCATATTATTTAAACTTTAAAACGTGTTTATGCAAATACACTGATTAAGCATTTCTGCACTGGTTCATAATTTTAATGCAGGTGAAGAAAACCAAGCAGAAGTAATATTGTTCTCTGCATTTCTGTAGGACACTTGTTGTAATCACTTTATGTTTTGGGTTTTATAACACCGCTTGAGCTGTTTTCTTTATTTGGGTTGTTTTCAAAGGGGACCATGTGCACTGAGCCTGTCTACACTATTCACACTGTACCATCGGGTAAATAAACGCACCCAGAATCTGTATTTTCCAAATAAATCACTGAACACAGACTAAATTTTCTTGAATCCTTTGCTCATAAAGTTACACATATGCTGAATAAATGAATATATGGATCCTCATAATATAAACACTGAATGGGCTTCGCTATTAAAAAAAATAATAATAATTGTAGTTATTATAAATTATAATTAATTATTATTTTTCTTTCTATCTAATTACATATAAGACATATTAATCAGGGGTTCCCACACATTTCAGCCTGTGAACCTCAAGAATAGCAGCCCAGCGGATTGAGAACCCATATAAATACACTGATTACCTTTACCTTTATCACGGCTGTACTTTAAAAAAATGAAAATGTCTTGAGAGCTGTACTGAACAAAATTTCTTTTTGTATACACTCTTTGCACAAAATGGTAATAAAGTCTGTCTCAGTCTAAGTCTCTTAGTCTAAGTGATTAAACCACAGCACTCCATATTAAATCTTAATTTAATAAATCTTTCAACATTTTTTATGACCTTTAGTAATTTAATCATTTCAAGTGTACCTTCAAGTAGTTAGTATGAAATGTAATTAATTGTGCATTTGGTATATTAAATATTACAGTCATATATTAGACAAACACATTTGTTGCATGGGATGATATATTTTTGCCCTCCTTGTACCTTGAGGACCACATTGACTGTAAAAACCATTGATGGTTTAACTTTCATTTCTCTCCCTTAAAAAAATATATTTAAAAGAGCAGGAATTCTGTATTTGTTCTTGTTAATATTAGTATATTGATGTAAATAGTTAATTTCTGTAATTTACTCTCGGTAAAAGGTTAAAGTTCAAAAGAAAGTCTTATTGTAGCAAAATAGCACTAGATCAGAATATTCTTGTAGAGTTGGTTTGTTTTTTTTAACTTTTTTTGGCATATTATTTTAGAAAGACTTGAATATTTAGTAGAAATTAAAGGAATAGCATTTGACTGGTTTAAATCTTATCTGTCTGACCACAGGGACCTCAGGGCTAGAAACTATTCAATATATTATATGCTCGCAATCCAATGTTATGCTGATGATACCCAGCTATATCTGTCTATAAATCCAGATGAAGCTAACCCATTGCAGAGACTTCAGGCTTGTCCGAAGACATAGAAACCTGGATGACTCTTAGCTTTTTGCTCCTGAATGCAGACAAAACAAAAGTTATAGTCTTTGGACCAGAGTCTTTGAAAAAGAAGCTGATTAGCCAGTCACTTCATTTGGATGGGATTAAACTGATTTCAGATAATAAACTAAAAAATCTCATGTTATGGTGTTATTTTTGATCAGGACCTGTCATTTAAATTCCATATCAAAGAGGTTTCCAGAATTTCCTTCCTTCATCTGCGGAATATTGTAAAAATGAGAAATATCCTGTCCAGGGTTGATGCTGAGAAACTAGTCCATGCATTTGTTACTTCAAGGCTGGATTATTGTAATTCTTTACTATCAGGAAGTCCACAAACTGTAATTAAAAGCCTTCAGCTGATCCAAAATGCTGCAGCCAGAGTTCTGATGAAAATCAAAAAGAGAGATCATATCTCTTCTATCCTGGCTTCCCTTCATTGGCTTCCTATTAAATCTAGAATAGAATTTAAAATCCTCCTTCTCACATATAAAGCCCTAAATAACCAAGTTCCATCTTATATCAAAGATATGCTTGTTCCTAATATCCCTACATGAACACTTCGATCTCAATCTGCAGTGGTTCCTAGAATTTCTAAAAGTAGAATGGGAGGCAGATCTTTTAGTTATCAGGCTCCTCTCCTGTGGAACCAAGTACCATTTCTAGTCCGTGAGGCAGACACCCTGTCTACTTTAAAGGCTAGGCTGCTAGAGGCTTAGACTGCTTGAGAACTTAGGGACGCCTATTTCATCATTCTGCTTCATTCTATCTCTATACTCCCACCCCGAAGAATTTTTTTACTTTAATCTCTAACGTTCTGCTCTCTCTGCTTTTTCTCATAGTAGCTTCTTCTGGTCTGTTCCTGTTTGGCTGTGACTCCATCCTGGAGAGAAATATCAGCTGTGCTGCTGCCATTAACACCTTTTTCAGTGTAGTCTTGTTTCTCTGACAGTGACTGGCTGGATGTGCTTTATTGAAACTCTGACATGGGAGCTGGCGCGGAGCTCATCTGCCTATC